AGGCTAGGAGTAAAAGAACTGACCTCTCGAAAAGAGAGACAATCGGAAAACTTGGCTATGTTAGTCGTGGTACCAAGTGAAAAATTAATAATATTGCTGAAAATCTCTTCCTTCTGTGTGTATGGGGTTTGACTTTACCATAATTGCTTAGGAAACTTCAAGGATAAATGTAAATGATGTCTAGGTTGGCAGTTCCCCTGGGGCAACCTAGGGACCCAAAGATTACCACTGATTAAAATTAGTTAGCTATAAGTTTATAATTCTAGATTATATAACGTGATTATAGAAGCCACCATAAGTGAGGCCAGCAGAGTCTATAAATAGCAGCATAAGATCAGTGAGGGTAAGATATTTCAAAGTACAGACATAGTTTAAAAAGAAGTAAAATATAGAATAGAAATGATGGTTCAGGGACAGGAGACTAATAAAAAAAAATTTGAGTAGATTTACACAAGAACCAAATTGAACTTTGACAAATAAAAAATATGACAACTGAAATATAAAACTCAGTGGTTTATTAAGCCAATTAGAACATTATTATTATTTTACTTTTAGGAAAGGAGCAGTGCAGTAAACCCAAAGGACAAAGAAGGGAGAGAGCAAAGCTGTTTTGGTGAAACTTTTTGGCAAGAGCAGCTCCAAGACAACCACTGGTCCTAGTTTGCATGCAGCAGTCTTGGTTTATGCCCTCTGTCTTCATGCAGTCATTAATAACGCACTCTTTCCTTCTCACAAAAGAGGCTCCCGTCAGAAGATAAGTACAAGGGGCCGGGGACAGTTGAAAGAGGGTCTGGAGAGGTGTAGTAGAGTGAAGGCTAGGGGGCAATGCAGTGGGGTGTCGTGGTTGGAGGATCTTTACAACTTTGGGAGTTGGGAGCCAGAATCCTGAGCAGGGAGCCCCATTCTCCCAGAGGGTGCAGCAGCTGAGAGTTCACCCTCAGAGAACTCAGGGAAGATGGTCCACCATACAAGGCTGGAGTGAATTCCCCTCGTGGGCTGCAGCTACACACTGGGAGGCCTTTAGGGGGTGGGTGGGGTGGGACAAGGGTGCTGAGAACAGCAGTTATGGGTTCATGGTGGATACAACAGGACCTCAGCAAGGATGTCATCAATAACTAGTTCACTAATAGGCTAGCAAAGGTAGAGACCATTTGGATTACAAGTCCCTGTATCAGAACTGATAGGATAAAATGAGAGAAAAGTGACATTTCTCTCATCTATCCCTTGAAACGTAGCAGGTTCTTAATAAATAATTTCATATTGTTTTGTTTTCACTTTCTATTTCTTTTCCTTCTTTGAAAATCAATAGCTTAACTGAACAGTACAGCAAGAATCAATTTTGGACTTGAAATAGAAAATCCAGAATCAGAGGAATATATATTTTTAAATTAAAGATGTACCTTACAAGGATGGTGCATCTAATAATACTACAGCCCCTGATTTACCATTTTAGAGAATGAAAGTACATTCTAATAAATAGGGTCAGATGGTGTTGTCTTGAGCATTAGCCCAGTTAGAGGTGAAGAAAGGTTAAAAGTCAATATTACTAAATAGGTAGACTTTTATAAAGGGACAGATGTGCATAGAGAAAACCTGAGCCTATCAAAAGTAAACCAATACAATAAAACCTATTTTTAAAAAATCTAACATGAACTTTTTTTCCAGTCTGTGAGCTAACAGAGTCTTGCCAAATAGAAAAGGAAAAAAAAAAAAAAACTAAGAGAGACAGCTAATCCTGTTAATCTTCTTGTTCCATCAGTGGAAAAGAACTTGGATAGGAGGAAACATTTTCGGGGAAGCACTCAGAGTAACTGAGCAGCTCTGGGCGACATGCTGAATGGTGATCTGATCAAATTACTTAGACTAAAAACCATGAAAAGAATTTCACACTGTGTCTGGCTAAGAAAACAGTTTTATCAAGAGCATGATCTTAAATGTGCTGAGATTTCTCTTTTCCATTTCTCTTTGCACTGTCTTGCTTCAGTGAGTTTGTTACTTGGGGAAGTGAAAGGCATTGTTGATGACAGTTCCTTAAGTGGAGGAAGAACAATGCTTGGCATCAAAGTGTGGAGTGCTGAGTCTGACCTTTGCAGTGTGTTGGTAAATTTAAAAAAATACATATTTCTATTTATTTGCCCATAATAGTTTTAAATTTCATTAGTGTATTCTTTTTTCTTTTCTTTTTTTTTTTGAGAATGTTAAATCCAGAGGTCCTAGAATCAATGTTCATACATGGACATCAGACATCCTAGGAATGCCTTCAGTGCAAAATTTGTACTTGCATGTGAACATTTTTTTTTCCTGGGATAAGGTGAGTAATATTTTTCAGATTTTCAAAGTTGCTTATGACTGAAAACTATTTTAAACCCAGTACTGGGGTGTGTCTCCTTTTGTTGTGCTTATACTAGAAGGCCTTCTGCATTATGCCTTCCTGCTCTGTTGGGTCAAACCCATCTCCACTCCCGCTGCCTACAAGTGGAACCACCACAGGGACAGAAAGTATTCCCCAAAAGCTAAGGGGGGAGATTGTCATTCTTGAAGTTGAAACTCTGGACATAATGAACTGTGTGGAGGCCAAGTTCAGCACAAAGAAAAAAATTAATCCTTATCAGAGGATCAGGTCTTTGCTGACAAGCACCTGGTAGACACCTGCACCCTGTCTGACTTGACCTTCAGAAGTAGCGCCTTCTTCATCTTAGGTTGAGACACACTGGTGTGGTGCCAAGACAAGAATGACATCCTACACAACTCCTCCAAAGAAAATGTCTAAGAGGAATCAGTTAGGGTTTTTTTTTTTTTTTTTCTTCTGAAGCACTGTGAGGACAATGGAATTGAAAAATGTGGCCCCTTCATTGGGTGTTTGTTCCTGGGAAATATGGGGTTGGAGTCGTCATGGCCAGCCACTTTAACTGGAGCAGTGTTGTATCCATTGTGTCAACTAGAAGAAAAGTCAATGCTAAATGCTCATGTGTTAATCAAGAACATTAACTCCCAAGAGACAAGCAAAAAACTAACAAACCAAAACAAGCAAAAAGATTGCTTCTGGTTATGTTTTCTCAATTGTTGTAATGGCAAAAATGAAAATAATTACTGAGATAGAAAAAAAAATAAAGAATAAAACAGCAAAACTCCTCCTCAGATTAAAAAACAAAACAGAGTGTGTTTCCTGAGTAATAACATCTTCCTTCTCTCCAATACTCTCCCTGCCCCCACCTGAAGAATAGTAAAGAGTCTAGGTAAATTTGAAGCTAAAGATTTCTTCTTTTACTAAAGTTAGTCAACTTGCACAAATCAACAGAATAGAAAGCTATTTTTTCTCTAATATATTCATTGAAGCTATAAATTTCTGAGTTTTATCTGTGATTCATTTATGACCTGTGTTCTTTTCATTCACATTCAGTTAAATAATTTTTGTAACTTTTATTGACATTTCCTATTTGACCTATAGGTTATTTAGAAATGATTGCATAATTTCTAATGTATCTTGGCTTTATTTCCCCCTACTTATAATTACTATTTCTTTGTTACTGATTCCTTCCTTAATTCCACTATAGTCTGAATACATTCTGTGTGGGATTTCAATCTTTTGAACTTTGTGGAGACTGGCTTTATTAAAGGCCCTGCAATGGTTCAATTTTGGAAAATGTTTCATCTGCACGTGGACATTATGCATAGAATGCACTTCCATATGCAGTGTTCCATACAAATTGACTAGATGATTTATGTTGTTTAAATATTGCATATCCTTATGAAATTATTTTTTGTTTGGTTTACCAGAGGTTACTCAGAGAACTATGTTAAAATATTTTACTATGATGATGGATTTCTCTATCTTTCCTTGTACTACCTACCATTTTAAATATATTTTAAAGTTATGCTATTAGTTACATGGACATTTAAAAATGTTATATCTTCCTAATTGATTGACACTTTATTGTTATTTGTCCCTCATTATTTCTAGTAATATCTTTTGCCTTAAAGTTTACATTGATATTATTGTAACTATATCAGCTTTATTTTTAATGTTTGCATGGTTTATATTTTCTTACCCTTTCACTTTAAAATTTTCTACACCCTTAAATTTAAGGCATTTTTTTGGTATGTAGTACATAGTTGAAGTTTGTTTTGTATCCAGTCTAATAATATTTGGATTATGTTTAATTTAAAAAATTTTAATGTGGCTCCTGATATATTTAGACTTAAATCTACCATTTTATTATTTATTTTATTTTTTCTCACATGTTCTATAATCATTCTTATTTCTTTTCTTGCATTCTTTTAGATTAATGAAGATTTCTTCTCATTCTATTTTCTTTTTCTATTACATGGCTAGTTACATATTTTGAGTCTTTTTTAGTGGCTATTCTAGACCTTGATCATATTCTTGATCATTAATGTCTAATATGAATTAATACATTTCCCACTTCCCAAATGATGAATCTCAGTTTAAATCCATTTAAACTTACATTTTTTAAATTTTCCTTTCATATGTTTTATTTCCAAACATTTAACACCCTAAATCAGATATTATGATTTTATATGATATTTATATTCATTTTCTACATATTTATTTACCCTTTGATTTTCCATCGATCTTTATTTTTTCTTCATTTTTTGCTTTATTCTGATGTTATTTTTCTTTTCTTGGAAAATTATTTGTAGTATTTCTTTTATTGTGGATCTGTTGGGAATGAATTCTTTCAATTTTATGTGCAAATATCTTTATTTAGCCTTTATTTTGTGATAGATATTTCCAAAAGTATATGATTCAAGGTAGACATTAATTTTTTTTCTTAAAGTTTAAATATAGAATTCTATTTTCTTCTGGATTACCCTCGGGATGGTTAATTTCATATTTCAACTTGATTGGGCCAAGGGATGCTCAGATAGCTGGTCAGGCAGTATTTCCTGGTGTGTCTGTGAGGGTGTCTCAGGCAGAGATTAGCATTTGAATCAATGTCCTGAATAAGGATTACTCTCACCAGTGTGAGCAGGCATCATTCAATTTCTCCAGGGCCTGAATAGAAGGAAAAGGCAGAAGGGTGAATTTTCTTTCTCTGCTTGAGCTGGGACCCCCATCTTTTCCTGCCCTCAGTCATCAGCACTCCTGGTTCTTGGACCTTCAGACCCAATAGAATTTACACCATCGGGTCTTCTGGTGCTCAGGTATTTGCATTTGGACTGGAACTCTCTTACCAGCCTTCCTGTGTCCCTAGCTTGCAGACAGCAAATCATGGGACTTCCCAGATATATCTGGCATATATCCAATTGGTTCTGTTTCTCTGGAGAACCCTGACTATTATAACCCTTCCACTCCTTTTTTTCTTCTAAAGAACTCAGGTTTGGGCATTATTTTTTTCTCCTTTGAAGGTAATGCCTTTATTTGTTTTGTTGTTCTTGGTGCTCCTAATATTTCTCTTTGTCTTTGATTTTTAAATATTTTCTATGGAATGTCTAGAGCTGGTTTTCTTTATATATTCTTTTCTTGAGGTTTGCTGCATTTCTTGAACCCATGGGTTGGTGTCTTTCATTAATTTGGGAAAATTCTCATTTGTTGTCTTTACAGATATTGATTATGTCCCATGTCTATCTCTGCTCTCCTTTTGAGACTCTACTAACCATTTTTTAGACTTTTTAGGCATGCCTCATTTGTTTCTAAGCTTCTTTCTTGAATTGTATTAATATATTATTTTATCTCTTTGATCAACAGCCTTTTGATCTACAATTCAGATTATCAATCCAACTTTTAGCTGTGTCTAATGAACTATATATATTGAGGTTTTAGTTTTAGTTCTGTTGTTAACAGAACTAAAATTTTAAATTGATTCCTTTAAAAATTTATTTCAGTGCCTGGTTAATTTCGCTTTTCCTCTTTTCTCTTATTGAATGTATTAATCACAGTTCATGTCTGATAACTTCATTATCTGGAAAACTTGTGGGTATTTTTCTAGTGTTTATGTTTTCTCTTGGTTCTGTCTTGATTAAAAGTGCTTTATTATTGCTGGAAGTTGTATATTTTTAAAAATTGTCAAAGTTCTGGATGATGTTATCCTAGTCCAGAAATGATTTCCTTTAGCTTCTGGCAGGTGGGCAGAGTAGGAGAAAATTGCTTTAATTAAATGATGGATTCAGCTAAAGTAAGTCTGGCTTTAAATCTTGGTAAAGTCTGTTCTATTTCCTGTTAGCCTTGATTCCTAAGGTATCATACTTCAGGGGTTTTAGTTGAAATGCTGGGATGTTTACCATGTTCCCCACCACCTTTATTGGTCTTAAATTCTAATTTTTATTTTGTGAGCCTTAGAAAAATGATAATTTTTAGATTCTTAGCCTGACAGCAGAAGGTTTCTACCCTGCTGGATCTTAAAACGTTGATGCTACCAAACAGACTTTTAAAAAGCTTTATGAAGCTTGTCTAGTTTTCAGAGAGGATCAATGTGCTTTGAACTACTGCGTCATATGTTGGAGAAATAGCTTGTAATTACTAGTTAAACACATGCATGTATCAGTGTCTAGAACTAATCCATATAATTTGATTTAAGGTGTTTATACTTTTCTGCTACTTTTCATGTTTTCTTAAGATAATATAATTTGGTTTCAAAATATGATTTTCCTTTCGCTTCATTATATCTTTTCTTTGTTAAGATTTTTTATTTTTAAATTTTCTGATGCTTCTGGCATATTTATGTGTCAACATCTATATTCCTCTCTTATATTGCTCATAACTGTTTCCTATTTTCCTTGGGTTTTCTTTTTGTTTTCCTGAAGTTTGTTTTCTCTTCCTCTCCAGAAGAAGTGACTAGTTAAAACTCTCCTAGTACTTGTACTTATAAATATATTTTAATATTGTCACAGTTCAATATAGTTTAAATGGGTATTGCATTTTTGTTTAAGATATTTTTTCTCCAGAAATTTAAAAATATTGTTACATTTTCTCCAAGTATCTCATGTTGTTGAAGAGAAATTTAATGCCAATTTGATCCATGTCCTTTAGTAGATACTATATTTTTTTTTCCAATTTGGGGAGTTTAAAAAAATTTTAAATTAAGTTATAATTCATATACCATAAAATTCCTTTTAAAGTATACATTTTAGTGTTTCAGGTATATTGATATATATAATTTAAATTATATATGTATAAAATGTTTATAATATTTTTAGAGTGTTTAGTATTAATGTATTCACAAGGTTTTTCAACTATCACCATTATCTATTTTTTTTTTTAACTTCCAGAATATTTTCCTCACTCCAAAAGGAAACCCTGTATCCATTAGCAGCCCTGTTTCCCTATGTTCATTAGGGATATTGGCCTGTTGTCTTCTCTTTTTGGTGAGGTTTTTATGTCCTTGTGTGGTTTTGGTATCAAAAAAATGCTGGCCTTGTAGATAAGGTAGGGAGAATTCCCTTATTTTCAATTTTTTGGAATAGTTCGAGGAGAATTGCTGTTAGTCGTTTGTAAGTTTGGTAGAATTTGACAGTGAAGCCATCTGGTTCTGAGCTTTTCTTTGTTGGGAGACTTTTTATTACTGATTCAATCTCATTAGGCGTTATTAATCCATTCAAGTTTTCTATTTTTTCCTAATTCAATTTTTGCAGGCTGTATGTGTTCAGGAATTTAGCCATTTCCTCTATGTTTTCCAGCTTGTTAGTGTATCATTGTTCAAAATAGTCTCTGATGATTTTTGGTGTTTCTGTGGTCTCCCTTTTTCTTTTCTGATTTCATCTGAGTCTTTTCTCCTTTTTTTCTTGATTAGTCTAGCTAACAGTTTATCAATTTTGTCTTTCTTTTCAAAAAAACAACTTTTCATCTTATTGATGCTTTTTTATTTTTATTTTTTGGACTCATTGTTTAATTTCTTCTCTGAATTTTATGATTTCTTTCCTTCTAAATTTGGTTTTGGTTTGTTCTTGCTTTTCTAGTTCTTTGAAGTGCATGATTAGATTGTTTATTTGAAATCTTTCTATTTTTTCATGTAGGCAATTATTGCTATAAACTTCCTTCTTGTAACTATTGTTACTGCATCCCATAGGTTTTGGTGTGTTGTGAAGGTGGCAGGTGCTGATGAGAGCCAGCTGTGGTGGCTGTGACAGGCTGGTTGGGCCCATCTTCAGGCTTCTGGGAAAAGCGCTTAGGTGCTAATGGTGGTGGATGGGCAGTCAATCCTCAGTCAATGCCCAATGGTGGATGGGCATGCCATCCCCTGAATGGCATGCTTGGGCACTGGGGGCTGCAGAGCCAGGCCAGATGGACCTGTTCTCAGGCCCCTGGGTGGTGCATATGGGCACTAGCTGTGGTGAGCAGGGGTGGGGTTTTCCAGGCCCCTGGCAGAATGCTCAGATGGGAATGGCAGTGGCAGCATGGGCTGGGAGAGCCTGCCTTATGGGTATGTGCCAGTGTGCTGCAGCCCTGCTGCTGAGGAGGACAGGGGTTGGTGTCAGTGGTAGGAGCCATAGGCAGACATATGGGGAGGGCATGCTTTGGCCCCAGGCAGTGGCTATGGTGGGAGATGCTGTCCTCAGAATGTGTGTAATTGCATGGCAGGCCTCCTGCTGGGGTAAGTGGGGTCAACTGCCAGTGGCCCTGGAGATATCAGCCCACAGTAGTAGTGGCTGAGGGCAGGGAGTGTTGATAGGTCTACAGGGATGTGGAGATGCAGAGGTTGTTGGGCCCCAGGGCACGGTGCAGGTTAATGGAACTGGACTCACAGAAGGATGCTGTACTATAGCTGCTTAGGTCTTGGGGCTGTCTAGGACCCTGCGTGTGCTCCCTCTTTGGAGCGAAGCTATCACACAGCCTCCAGGCAGCTCCCTATGTTAGTCTCAGGGCCTGTGAAGGGTGAGGGGGGAGAGGCTCTCCTACAACTAGGACTGTAGGAGTCTGCAGTGGGAATGTGGCCTGCTGGGGTCTCTCGCTTACCCTTTCCCCACAGTGGGGACCCTCTCCAGGTCCTGCCCCATCCTAGCCAAGCAGGCTGCCTTGCTTCCCTCTCCCTCCTCGCCTGAAGTGTTTCCTGTCATCTCCTTCTTGAATCCCAGTATTCTGTCTTAGATGATCCATCTGAGAGTACAGTTATCTCCTGGCTATTGTGGTCCTTCTTTGTAGAGGAGGTGAGTGCCAGATACCTGTAGTATCTCGAAGCCCCTCCCTCAGCACAATTTGTTGAAAAGATGATTCTTTTCCATTGTCTTGGCACCCTTATAAAATACCAATTGACCATCAATGTCAGGATTTATTTCTGAACTCTAAACTTTACCCCATCGTCCTTATGACAGTACCACAGAGTCATGATTCCTATAATTTTGTGTTATGTTTTGAAGTCAGTGAATGTGTGTCCTCCAACTTTATGCTTCTTTCTCAAGATTGTTTTGACAATTCTGGGTCTGTAGAATTTTCATATGAATTTTAGAATCACCTTGTCAATTCATGCAAAAAAAAGGTGACCATTAATTCAATAATTCAGCAATTTAGACTGAATTTGTAGGTCCATTTGGTTGAAAAGCATTCTTAATAATAATAAGTCTTGCAATCCATGGACATGAGATGCTTTTCTATTTATTTAATTTTAAGTTTACAAGTTATACACCACTTTTGTTAATTTATTCCTATATATTTTAATGCTACTTAGTAGAATAGGTTTCTTAATTTTAAGATGGGTCGTTGCTATTATTTATAAATACTGTTGATTTTTGTATGTTGATCTTGTATCCTGTAACATTGTTGAACTTGTGTCTAGCTCAATAGCATTTCTGTGGCTTCTTTAGGATTTTCTAAATACAAGATCAAGTTTTCTGCAAGTAGAGATAGTTTTATTTATTTCTTTTCTAACTGAATGCCTATTATTTCTTTTGCTCATCTAATTTCTATGGCTGGTTGGAAAGTTTATAATCCATTTTTCTTCTGATAGCTTTGGCAATTTGTCAGCATGTGTTTAAGTATGGTGTATGCATGTGTGTATGTGTGTGTGTGTGTGTGTGTGTTTTAAAATCCATCCTCTTTCACTCAGTGGATACTTCAACATTGCAAGAGTAGACATTTCACCAGCTCTCAAACTTTTTCCTCTTCTTCATTTCCTGGAATATTCCTCCTCCCTGTTTTTGTTGTCTTTTCTGGGACTCCCCTTAAACACATGTTAGACATTTTAAAAATCTTCTTTTATGCCTCTTTATTTTTCTTTCAGATTTTGTTCCGTGATTCTGCTTTTACTTTAGTGTTTGATCTTCTACTCTGTTTGAGTTGCTCTTCTATCTATTCCATTTGTATTTTATCATTCATATTTTATATTACCAAGAGCTCTGATTTTTTTTTCTCTCCGTAACAACCTATTTTCAATGTCTTTTATGTACTTTAAATTCTCTGAGGATATTAATTATAATCATACAAAAGTTTTCTTCAGTTCTTATAATTTCCAGATGTGTTACACATTGAGTTTTCAAATATTGTGTTTTCTTGTTCCTGATCATTTTTTAAATGAGAGTTTCATTTAAGTAAAATTAAGGACTGGAGGTACATTTCCTCATGCTGAAGGATAATTACTTTTGCCTGGCAGCAAAAGCAGTTAGGATTACAGAAGTTTCTCTCTTTTGATTGCTGTGTGGATTTGTGATGCTGTGACCAAGTGGAGTTTTTTTATAGTTTGTTTTCTAGAGAGGATGGTCCCTCAGACGTCAGATCCAGCATTGCATGTACACGAACTTCAGTGTCATCTGTGACTAGAGTGTTGGTGCTGGCTCATCTGTTGTACCACTCAATTAACTACCACCTTATCATGTGTGACCCACTCCTTCCCAGACCTTATCCCAGTTCTGGGAATTACTCAAAATTTTTGTCAGAAATGCTTTTGTAAGTATGTTATTTCTGTTGTCTTTATGGAGATATTCGGTTCTTTGCTTGTTCAGTTCACTTGGGTTTCACTATCAAAATGTCCCCATTTACTTCATGTCTTTCAAAAACTATTTACATTTGTGGTCTGCTGGTAGAATATTACTTGTTTGTCCAACACTCCCATCAATTTATATATATATATATATATATATATGCATAAGCACACACACACACACACACACATACACATATATATGTATTCTATCTTTGAATAAAGTTTCTAGTTGGGGGAGAAAAAAATAATTTTTTTTTTTTTGGCCAGCCATCTTGAACTGATAGTCTCATCCTTTTAAAAATGAACCTTTTCTCTGTCTGCCACTGAACCACAACTGTAATGAAATACTGACTTGGCAGATTCATAATCAATTTCTAATTTAAAACTCATTTCCTATATAAAAAAGAAAAGCTTATTTGAAGCTGACATCAAAATATTCTCACTGAAAACTCTAAATTATGATATCACAGCCTGTCTAGTTTCAGAAACAAGAAGAAACAGGACTCTTTTCAAATTATTCAAATACACAACAAAAGACAGTAAGTTGAGAGAGAGAAACAATGAAAGACTGATGGTAAAGTCTTTCTTCACTGTAGATCTTCATTTACTGTTTTTATATACAGAAAAAATATTAAAAATACAAATAGTATAATATCTATAGCATTCTTTCCACTATAGCTAGTCACAATTTAAAATAAAGTTTATATGCAGCAATAAAATTCTATCTTGTACTTACACCTGTCAAGTGGTAACCTAAGGCAGAAGTTCAATTGAAAAGTATACAGTGGCTCTAAAGTATAGCCCAACTTTAAATGTCTGTGAAATTTCTGTGACTACATAGCAAAAGTCATTGGGTTGCAGATGTCCCTAACCTACAGTCTTCCATCATCATCTTTTCCTTTGGATTCAAATGAGATGGCTTGAAGAACTGCCCACAACCCATAAACATGGGAGGTCCTGTTTCCCTCACTTTTTATTTTCAGGGTTACCTTTCTCTAGGACACTAGGAAGAAGGAAGTTTTCCTCACCTGCTTGCCTGAGTTTTTATATGTGTTTTTTTTCTTTCCGTGTTACCTGGTTGCTAATGTTTGCTGTAGGTTCTTATGACCACTATTCTTTTCAGAATTGTTTCTCTCCTGTCTCTAGAAACTTTACCACCACTACTACAGAGTGCTAACGATGCTAGACTGTATTAGAGTGACTGTATTTTATTGAAGACTTGGGCACTGAGGGAATTATCATGTAGGAACACAAAATTAAAAATAATGAATTTGATGTTTCCTAGAACTCAATGGAAGAAAACCAAACACATTACCTGTTAGCAATTTTTTTTCTTCCCTTCTTGCTTAATCTAGTTTCTAACCTTCTTGTCTAAAAGTCCAAACTGAGATCCTATCCCACCATCTCTTCTTTTTTCAACAACCCATGCAAGACACTGATTCATTCTTGTTCCTTTATGTCATAATTTGAAAACATTGCAACAAATTCCTTGGCATTTTTCCCTTCAGAAGGTAGATTCTATGACCTCACCCCTGAATCTCTACAGGACTTTATCTCTTCAAAGATGAGGAATGCAGCCAAAGTGATGCCACTTGACTTCCAAGGGTAAGTAAGAATAGGCCATAAGTTTCTGCTAGGACCTCTTGGAACACTGATGGGAGAGCCTTTAGCTGCATGTAAGTAGTCAGGTAGCCACGTAGAGGAACCCAGAGGGAGTCTATGCACTCACAAGCGCACGTGTGCACGCAGACACACACATGTGCACACACACGCACACACACACAGGTGTGCCCTACTGAGAACTATGTCAGGGAACCCTAACTGTTCCACCTCTCAGCTGTTTTCTTGTTTCTAGCTCAGGAAGGCATGGAAGTTAAGAAAGCTTTAGGGTGATGCCAGCCCCGCCATCATCTGACTCCAGCCACACAAGGGACATATAAGGAGAACTTCCTTAATAAGTCCAGTTAACCTCAAATTTTTAAGGAAAATAAGTGATTTTTAATTTTTTAGCCGTTGTTTTAAGTGATTTGCTATGTGGCAACAGATAATTGGAGCACTCTATTATGCAAAGGCATTGAATTTGTTTCGTTTAAATTTCTCTCTTCTAGGCCATGCCCAGAGAGGCCCTGCACGTCTCAGTCAGGAAGGCTCATGGATGTGGCCCTTGGTGAGCAAGCCTTTGTCTTCTGAATGTGTCTTCTCCCCATGAAGCAGGACACCCTTCTCTGCCCTTCTTTCTTTCTTCTCTTCTTGTTACAGATGTCTCTGAATTTGAACAGAAGAAAGAAATTCTTCTTTATTACTTTCAGATCTATGAAACAGAGGAATAAAAATGTATATCACCCCTAAAAATTATGGCTTATGAATTCCGACTATGCCACTGACCATTTGAATCCACAGTGATTCATAAATGCACAATCTATACCAAGGATTTCTGATATATCACAAAAGTGTATTCCTCTGATATTGTGTCACAGAAGATGTAATTAAAGGATTCCTATACAAACACCTGAATTAATGTAGAAACTAAGGAAAATTTCTCTCCTTTATGCTTTGATTTTAAGTTTTCTTTTTTTTTATTATCATATATAATAACTCTAGTTGCACTTTTACACTCAAGTAAATAACACTGTTGTGTCTGAAATGACAATGACCAGAAAACGACAGGATTTTAGTTGAAACAAGTGAAATAAGGACTAATGGTTGAATATGTAGAAATCTGTTGGAGGGAGTACATGTCACCTCTCAGTTTTGTGAATGACAGTTGAGTGGCTTTTGGTTTTGTGGAGTGAACCAGTCATCACCGACCCCATCTGAAACTATGGGAACCTCTTCACCTTGTGAGGTCATTATATGAGCTGTGTCCTTGAACATTGCTCGTAATTACAAGAGAAGAGACGCTGTCCTCTCAGTACTAAAATACTTCACCGTAATTAATTGAAGAAGAAAATCAATGCCTCTTCACTCTAGTGATATAGATCACTGGTTCTCTTCATAATTTCCCAATTCTTCATAATATCCCTTTTCCTTTTACTGAAAAACAAAATAATAGGAATAAAAATGGAAACTCCCAGCTGAGCTGTCTCTTAACTCTCCTTAATCATTTGTCCATTCCAATTCTCTCTTTGCTTTGCTTAATTCTAAGTGATATCTTGCTGCTTCTGCTGGAAGATTTTCTTTTTCCCAGTTTTTCTTCATTATTGTTGGCATGTCCATGGCTTTGAAAAACAAAACATGTGCAGGGTTGCCTAATAGAAATAAAATCTCTTTTATTTCTAAAGGTGCTACAGATTCTTAATTACTGTAAAGCCCACCCCCCCAGCACCACACTGAGACAGTGTAGCGAGCTGGTGAGTAGGATTCTTGTCCTGCCCCAAGGTGCTTTTCACTGATGCCAGTGATAAAGTGAATTCCGTGACTATTTACCCTGTGAAATCATTATATTGGATATTCTCTTTTGCACATATATTATTTACACAATCCTAAACATTACATATAGTGATACTGGAGGAACCCAGGGTATGACCTTTTTGTTTTCACCCTTACATAACCCTTTGTACATCTAAAAGGTATGATATGTGTAAATATCCCAGAGACATCACATAATCAATTTTTTTTCTGTCTCTTCTTTTGCCACCAGTGTATGTGGGTTGACTGTCACAGGAGCCATCTTATTAGGAAGAGAAGAATCGGTCACCAGAAAAAATTAGCCTGGCCAGTGCCAATATCAGTTCAGCTTGGGCATTGAAAATTCGAAGCTTAAATATCTGCTTGAAGGAAACATCTGCTTGACAGGAATGTCCATATTTTTGGTATAATGATTTATGTATCAAGAAAAAATAAAAGGTAATTCCTGATGCTGTTTGTATCAGAGACAGATATAAAAATTTAATAATTAGCTGATCTGTTTTTGGCGTCTGGCAAGTCTGAAATCTATAGGGCAGGCTGGCAGGCTTGAAATTCAAGTAAGAGTTTATGTCGTAGTATTGAGTTGGAATTCCACAGAAAAGCAGACTGGAAACTGAGGCAGGGCTTCTATGTTGGAGTCCTGAGAAGAATTTCTTCTGTATCTAGGATTCTCCGTCGTTTAAGGTATTCAACTGATTGAATAAGGCCCACCCACATGATCAAGACTAATGTGCTTTACTCAAAGTCTACTGATATAAGTGTTAATCACATCTAAAATACACCTTCCCAGCAAAATTAAGACTGCAGTTTAACCAGGTGACTAGGCACCATAGCCTAGCAAAGTTGACACATAAAATTAACCATCACACTGGACTTTATATAGGCCTGTGTTCAAACCTCCCTAGAGATAGCTATTCAATCTTTAAAATCTTTTCTGAGAAAGTTTGCCATAGGCTTTCTTGAATTTCAAATTGAATAAAAAAATCCCACTTTAAATATTCATTCTAAAGTTTAATTTTTAAATCCACTTGTCCTTATACTTTCTCCAGTAGAAATGGATAATAATTGGATTTTTTATCTACTTCCTATTTAATTAACATGCTTCTATAAACAACTTGTAAAATAATCTTCTAACAGATGACTTCTACATGCCACAAATGGTACTGCTTATGTGGCTTGCAATTTGGTTTTAAGTGCTTAGGTTTAGCGTGTTTATTTTTAAAACAGTTTTATTGAGATATAATTGACATACCCTACAAATCATCCACTTAACATGAATAATTCAACTTTAGCATTTTCATGAGTTGTGCAACCATCAATACAATCAATTTTAGAGCATTTTCATCACCGCCAAAAGAAACTCTGTACCCATTAGCAGTCGGCCACATTTCCTCCCAACTTATCCTCCCGACCAGCCTGGGGCAACGCTAACCTACTTTCTGTCTCTCGAATTTGCCTAAAAATCTGGATACTTCATACAAATCGAACGATGCAATATGTGGCCTTTTGTGACATATAAGGTTTAGTTTTAAAGTGACAACATTGTTAAGATCCACAAAATATAGACAATTCCAGTGGAATGACTGAGAGAAGGTAAATGATTATTATTTTTGGCCAATTTTCTCATCAGCTCCCCTCACCAAAAATGAGTCACCATCAGGGTGTGCCTAAGACACCTGATTATTTTGTTTCTTTGTTTAATTTTTTTCTTATGTTTTAACACGATCATGAGTTTGGTCCTTGTGCTGTGAATTCAGGATTAAGGTCTAATTTTCTGAAGCAGATGAGGCACGTTCGCTCACTGTTTCTTTTTTTTTTTTTTTTTTTTTTTTTTTATCAAAAGGAGGTTTATTGTCTAGCTCGAGCTAGGGTCTGAGCCCCCAGAGTGCCAGCGCAGTGGCTTCTTCTTCGGGCAAGGACCCTCACTGTTTCTTGTAACCGAGTCAATCTCTTCCCTGAGGCCTGGAGGTGGTTTAAAAGGCCCGTGGCATCCCATGTGTAGCACCAACAGTCCTGCCTACCTCTGTGTCCCTGACTCTCTTTCCATTCCTAACCTTGCTCCCTTGGCAGCTGCCTCTGGTATGCTCTCATTTCTGCTTTACACCACTTAAATTACAATTAGTTTTAAATACAAAATTTGTCACTCAATTATTTATTCTCTATGAAATTATTTTATTTCCTCCATATTACCTTACTTTGTTTTAGGTGTTTGCACCTATATATCATCCAAATCCAGATGATTGTCAGTAAGTTTTGGTAAAATCTGGGGTGTGTCTATAATTATTTGCTTTGGATATAAGTGAAATAATTTTTTAACTGATATTCAGAAAAATATTCTTTTCCACAACCACGCAGCAATGTCTTCTCATTACATATACATATTTAAACACAAAATACGAGAGTAAAGTATCATATAACTAATGCTTTAATAACTATGCAAAATATATGAAAGATATTATGTCTAAAAACTTATAAGCAATTAAAATGAAATTGTTTTTCAAAAAAATATGTATTTTTGTGATTTATTTTTCTACAATCACTCATGTTCCTCATTCTTTTTTGCAGAGGGTTGTGCATAAATTATAGGTACGTAGTAATAATTTTTCTATATAATACTATCAAGAAACATTATGTCTAACTACTCTGTATCAGCCAGCAAATAATGTTAGAATGAATACTGATGATGGTGATGGCTAATATCTAGGGTATTACTAGGAGAATGGGCTAGAAGATTTGTTACTTAGCTGATGCTTTGATTTAATGACTGAAACTCTCTGTACATTGATAGTTGCTTTTATTATAGAATATATTTCTTCTCTTAGTTTTATGAAGTTATAGCAGTGGACACATAGGACATAGATTTTCTATACTAAAATCTTTGTTCATTTATGTACTCACTTGGTCACTCACTTATGAGCACCTAAATTGTCCTCTGAGCTATGCTTGGTGTTGGGAGGACCATGATGAACTCATAGAGACTGCCTTCATAAACGTTATAATCTCATGGGGAAGGCAGAGATTAGCCAAATAATCAGACAAACAAATGCTATATTGTAACTGCTATAAGTACTGAAAGAGGATCGCATGCTAATTTTCAACTTCTTAGACTTAAGAAATAACACAATACATTGTGGCTTTGTAAGGCAGTGAGTTCTCTTTGTCTTTCTTTCTTTCTTTCTTTCTTTCTTTCTTTCTTTCTTTCTTTCTTTCTTTCTTTCTTTCTTTCTTTCTTTCTTTTCTTTTCTTTCTTTCTTTTCTTTCAACAGAATCTCACTCTATTGCTGCAGCTAGAGTGCCATGGCGTCAGCCTAGCTCACAGCAACCTCAAACTCCTGGGCTCAAGCAATCCTTCTGCCTCAGCCTCCCAAGTAGCTGGAATTACAAGCATGCGCCACCACGCCCGGCTAATTTTTTTCTATATATTTTTAGTTGGCCAATTAATTTCTTTCTATTTTTAGTAGAGATGGGTCTCGATCTTCTTCAGGCTGGTTTTGAACTCCTGACCTTGAGAGATACGCCTGCCTTGGCCTCCCAGAGTGCTAGGATTATAGGCGTGAGCCAAGGTGCCCGGCCTGTTTTACTTTATTTTTAAAAATATTACCAGCTGGTACAGTAACACAAATTTTTTTTTTCCTTTTCAGCATCATATTGACAAGTGTCCAATTAAACATGTTGGCATTCTTATCTTAACTGAGCAATTTTAAAGATTTTCTTTTCATGTCTGCAAGAATAGAGCAGGGCATAGAAGGACAGAGTGTAGGGAGAGGCATTTCGAAATTTACCACGACAGGGGTAACTGAGCTGCAATTATATATTAAAAATAAGGACTTACTTCATGGCTTACAATCCCTCATAAAAGGCACAGATTCAATTCCCAGGAATCAGCCAAAATGCACATCTTTGGACCAGTGTTGGGCTCCTCAGTTTCCTGGCCTGAACAGAGGGAGAGGGGCAAAGCAGGCATTCATTTATTTAAAAAAATAGTTATTTATTTATAAGAGACAGGGTTTTATTCTGTTCCCCAGGCTGGAGTGCAGTGGTGTGATCATAGCTCACTGCAACCTCAATTCCTAGGCTCAAGCTATCCTCCTACCTTAGCTTCCTGGGTAGCTGGGACTACAGGTGCACACCACTGTGCCAGCTAAATTTTTACAAATTTCTTTTCTTTTCTTTTTTCTTTTCTTTTCTTTTCTTTTCTTTTCTTTTCTTTTCTTTTCTTTTCTTTTCTTTTCTTTTCTTTTCTTTTCTTTTCTCTTCTCTTCTCTTCTCTTCTCTTCTCTTCTTTTCTTTTCTTTTTTATTTTAGCATATTATGGGGGTACAAGTGTTAAGGTTACTTATATTGCCCATGCCCCGCCCCCCTCGAGTAAGAGCTTCAAGCGTGACCATCCCCCAAACATTGCACATCTTACTCCTTTGATTGTATATACCCATCCTCTCCTCCCCCCTCCCACCCTCCTGATACCGGATAAATGTTACTCCTATATGTTCACTTAGGTGTTGATCCGTTAATACCAATTTGCTGGTGTTTTTTTTTTTTTTTTCCCAGAGAGACAAGGTCTCACACTCCTGAACAGGCCTTTCCTTTAGGGCTCTTAGCTATGTGCAGAGTGCCTAGCCTGCCCTGCTGCTCTGGGCTTGAAGAAATTACTTTCTTATTTTTAATAGAATGTATGAAACAACAAAGCAGTATATGAACATATGTATTATTTACAAAGCTTAATAATAGATTATAGGCCTTTCAGCTCTCTCCCAATGTAAGCACTAAAGCAATACAAAATGACATTGAATCTACCTAAGTTTCTAGCCCTGATCACATCTTTCTGCCTTTCCCCAGAGGTAACCATAATGGTGATTGATTTTTCTTTCTCCTTCTCTTACTTAAAAAGTTCATCACTGCATATTATTTCCCCAACAATCTTGCTAAACTCCGGCTTTGTGTGAGTTTTCTGCAGCTTGTCTGCTCCCCTCAATCCTTGTCACTCTCCCATGCTCAGAGAACAGGCGCCATAACATAACAGTATAACTGAGTCTTTAGACAGAGGAAGCCTGGTTTAGGAATGGGAAACTGTGAGAGCCTGTTCACCATTTCATGTGGACACAGAGCACAGGACAGTACAAAAGTTTGCAAAACACATATAAGGTCCAAGAGATCACAAACTTCAATTTTTTAGAGGTTTGGTTACTAAGATAATGAAAGTGATAAGCAGAATGGCTTGGTGGAAAATCATGATGAGTTTATAATTAGACAGGCCTGGGTTTGAATCTCAGCTTTTTCAGTTTGTAGCGGGATGACCTTGACTTGTTAATTTACTTTTCTGAACCACTGTTTCCTCACTGGGAAATAGAACTAGAAATGCTTCTCTCACAGGTTGTGAAGACCTGGCACCTAGTCAGTCTTGACTAATTATTAGGGTTTTTTCCCTCTATAAAACTTTCACTTTGACCTAACATTCTGATTATTGTTTTTCTCCATTCTCCATCTAATTTTAAAATATATTATGTTCTTTGTCTCAAATTTGTTGTGTTTGAGTATTTGCACTGCCAGACCACGGTATGGTAATTCTATCCAATTCTTTCTTCCGCAGCAAAATTTCCTCCAATTCCTAGATTTTTAGGTGACCCTATCATCTTGCCTCTTAGCTTCATTAGTCTTGTTGACATTTTTGCTGTTTCTCAAAAACAAACCTTTTTCTGTTATGTCAATAATAACTGACAACTGTAAATTTTAGAGCCTATCTACTTCAGCTAACGCTGGGCAAGCACAAGAAAGTCAGGAAAGACAAAACTGTGAACTCTGCTGGGACCAAGGAACCATGGGCGACCTGATCATACTTCCCAATGCCACTCACAGCAGTCTAGGGGCTGCTGAGAACCTAAACTATGGAACAATTTGGCTACATCTCCTTTTACAGTGTTTTAAAAAGAACTCAGATTTAACCCCGTGGCTTGCTGTGCCTCTGGTACATATCCCTGCATGCAGTGAGCTATTGTTCTGACCTGGTAGGTAACTGAACAATGTGGACATTTGAGATTCAGAGGAGAATGCAGATCTGACACAAAAAATGATTATTTCCTGCAACAAGAGCTACAGTAACAAGAGAGAGTGGTAACACAGTGATGTGTCAAAAACAAAATAAAACAAAACAAACCGTTGGCAAGAACAAGGGAGCATAAAGTTCTCCTTCATACATTTTCTTATGTGTAGTTGCACTTGTATCAGCAAATTCTTACCAAAAAATTGGTAGATAACAAATTTTATGGGTCAAGTGTCAATGTTGATCAAAATGTTAGAAAGTACAGCTCTCTTCCAGGACATGTGCTATTGATTTATTTTATTGAGTTTCTACAGGTCTATTAGGACTATTCCTCAGTGGGCGTTTTACATCTGAAAGCACAATTAAAATCCATTTATAATATCTGTTCAAATAAAACATCTATAGATAACAGCCACAGGATCCCCCCTCATAAGCCAGTTTTTGATAAAGGACACATAATTTTGTATGTGCATATGTGCAACTTTGCTTACTTAGGCACCTGGGAGATGGTTGAAAATCAGTTGCCAAGTGTGGGGAGTAGGAGGGAGGATGGTGGGCTTTCACATAAAGGGTAGGTGAAATTGTTTTAGAAACCTTAGAGATTTTTAAGGTAGTTCTATAAGACAGGAAGTTTCATACTATAGGTGGCCCAAGACTTATTGAAGGTTATAAGACACTGAAGGATGTCACATTCATATAAATGTACTTTATTTATTCAAAGAAGTATGTTGCTTAAAGAATAAATTCACTGTAGATCACAAAAACTTGAACACACAGAAACTTAGAAAA